AGAGAGAGAGAGAGAGAGAGAGAGAGAGAGAGAGAGAGAGAGAGAGAAGAAAAAGAAATTTTTTATCGATATGAATTACAAATGCGATAACAACGGAAGGAATTTTAATTCCATTTTTTTTTACGAATTGATTTTGAAATTATCGAGTAGATTTACAGATACATACGATTTTTATAATTATCAAGTTAAAAATGAAAATAAATTACAATATGATAATTAGTTATTATTCGTTGAATAGGATAAATCAAGATTTATATTTATAATTGTAAATTATATGATTCATTTAATAATAATAATTTGCATAATCATTTCATTCAAGTAACTAATTCAATTTTAAGTGTGTTTCTCGAAATAAACTTTATCTTTCTTGTTTAATTGTTATACGATCATTTTTCGAAAGTGATAAAAATGATTGCATAATCGTATCTTTTTCTATTTTTTTGAAAAAACGGATAACAATAATAGCTAATAAAAATAATTTTTCAATTTATCCACAATAGATATTTTTGCGTATTCGATAAAATAGCCAATGAAGCGATAAATTATCATATAAATGATGATTCGATATTTAATCGTTTTATAGTTTTATAGTACAGTATAATACATACAGAAATTACGAAGAATAATAGTATATACAGAATAATACGAAGGATTTAAAACTGTGTAGAAAATAATTATTCCATCATCGAAAATTTTTATGATTAACATGAGTAAGAAAATATATAGATAATTATGTATGTATAATTTTAGTTAGATTTCATAATCGATAATTTTAATAAATTTGAATAAGATTATTCATAATAAGAAAAACTTGAAGAATTTGAAGAGAAGAAATTTGAAAATTTATTCGTAATCGATTATATTTTATATTATATAGTTAGTTTTATATTATATAGAAGGCTGAAAAATAGCGTGAAGATCGAGTAAGTATATATAGGGGAGAAGTCTGGATCGAAAGCTCGCTTCGCATACTCGTACCTTGACATCGAGCGGAATGAAAGTGGCGGCGGCTTCAGTCGCTCGCCAACTTCCACCGTGCAACATTATCGTTCGTGTTCGCGTCCACTTCCGTCCGATCGTGCTTTTGATCGACAATCGCATCAACGAAAAAAATAGCGATTAAAAATCATCGATTAATGAATTTTTCACTGAAAATTTTGACCAAATTTCAAGATAAGATTGCGAAAGATATTGATGCGTGTGAATCGAAGTGTGACTCGTAAACGAGGATGAAGACAATTTTATTCGTATCTACTACAGTTTCTTTTGTGCAACGACGAATAAATCAATTCGGCGAATAAATCAATAACAGAATACGTGAAAATCATGCGGAAGTGTTTGCTTCTTGTTTTTTGTGCCGCAGGTAATGCGTGATTTTACCGATCCGACATTTGTTCTCTTATTCGCGTTAAATATCGAGTAAAAGGAAATTTGGATGAATTGATGAATTGATGGATGGATGGATGGATAAATAGAAAGATCGTCGAAGAATCGAATAATAAATATTTTACACGTATTTGTTATTTATGATCGATAATCGATGGATTAAATCTTTTAATAGGGAAAATCGAATATATATAAAACATTCACATAAACCGTATAAAATTTTTTTAAATGACTTTTAAAAATCGGATTTTATATTTGAATATCAAGTTTTTCATCAAAATTCGAACCGAAACGTTTCGAGGCGAGAAATTTTGAAAAACAAATAAGGAAAATTTATGTAAAATATAATATGAAAAATTTATAATATAATCGTTGAAAAATATTCAGGAAGCAAAGTTTAAAAACATCTTAAATAATTTTATTCGTAATTGCGAAATCTGATGATTTATAACTCGAATCTAATAAAAAATGTTTGTTTACAAATAGGAATAAAAAGTAAATCGTTTCAATGTGACAAACGAATATCAATTTGATCCTTTTTTCTCATTTTCTGCACTTTTCTATTTATATATTTCCTTATATAAAAATTCCTATATATCTATATATATATATATATACTTCCTTGTAAAAAAGAAAAAAAAAATAAAATAAAATAAATATATTTCCAACGGCTGAAATTTCCATGATAAAATATCATGTCAGGATATGCCAGTCATTAGAGTAACGCGATGTAAGTGCCAGGCAAATATATGAACATATGTATATATATGGTGTATTAAATTGCGAAAAAAATAATCATAATTATGTCATTATGAAAAATGATACTGTGTCCCATATCGCAACTCGATCATTTTAGCTTTTTATCGAAAAATTTGAGATAAGAAATGAATTATAACTTTTTAACTGATTATAACTTATCTTTCTCTATTAATCATAAAAAAGTTACATAAGAGTAAACAAATTTACATATTCGTAATTTATATTTAAAAAAGAAGAACATCATTATCATTATCATTATCATTATCATTACCATTATCATATATACGTGCATAATTATAATAAAATATTCTTTAACTTCATCTTGAAAGAAAATTAATGAAATATTGCATTTTATAGATGCTATATTTAAATGAAAAAAATTGAATTATATATATTTTTTTTTTCCTTTTTCTTTCTTCTTTGAAATAAAATCATTAATTTTTTCCGAAAAGAAAAAGAAGAGACATAAGGAATAAAACGTTCCGTTACTTATTATACTTATATACTAATGTGAAATAAGATTAATAAAAAAAAATAACATGACGTATACTATAGAATAGCTAGAAGTCAAAAGAGAATCGGACATCTATTTTTGTTCGAGAGTACGGGAATCTATAGGCAGAAAACTGTATACGAAACTGTATTGAATCAGATGGCAAATATATCGCAAAATTAGACAAAATCATACAATATTATTCATCGATGTCAAAATTGCAAAATACAGATTATAATTATAATCAGGAATCTTATCACGCATACGTTTCGTTCTAACTAATTACCTTATCAAAAATGTTTTTATACATAGAATACATACTAATATATTATATATTCTTTAAAGTTATCGGAAAGCAAAGTTAAATCGGAGATTAAACGAAATATTTGTCAATCTAAAAAGCCTCGCCAAGAAAGAAATACAAAACAATTACACAGAGTACGTGTAAATTTAACCTTGTGCTGAAAGTATGTAAAAATCTTGGGCATATCACGTATTACTTGTATCGATACGATGATTCTTGTACAACTAGACGAGAAAATCTAAAAATAACGGGATACTGTTTATCTTTGAATATTAATTATTGGCAATATCCAAGCTAGCACGAAATAATAATTATCAAAGTCCATCATGTACCGGTAATCAGTTACGTTATTGTATCGTGTGTATCTTCGAATATCTATCGATCATTGAAATATAAACCAATTTTGAAAATATCGCTACCGAATTGACGCAATTTTATACCATATGGTTACGTATACGTATATATTGATATGCGAATATTGACAAAGACAGATAAAGATATTTTAATTTATCGGCGCATACTATCGTATAACTATATATATATATATTTGTTTAATTTTAGTGACAATTTGTTAAATTTTTCGAAAAATACAATCGTGCGATTTTAATATTCTATAAAAACGTGAAAAACTGTTTTTATAAAAAAGTATATTTTTATAATCTAACTTCATTGTTTATAAATATAAACAATGAATAAATTATAAATATAAAAATTTTGATAATACTAATAATACTAATAATTAAATCATTTAAATCATGATGGATAAAAAATCAATTTCCTAATTTTTAATAAGAAAAAGAAAATTATAAGTAATTTGACAATAACGAATAATAAACATGGCATAGAAAATATGGTTTAAAAAAATCTGATACAAAAAGCTTATGATAGGAAAGTTGGAATATAGCTAAAAATTATCTATCACGTGAAATTATGGATTTATGACTAGAAATTAATACGAACAAGTGATTATACGTATATTTATCATAATTGAATATCGTATGAATGAAAGGACAATTTGTTCGCAATATCCGTTAAAAGATGGATTTATGTTGAATATATGCTCTGGGTATGTAGAAATATCGGTGAGATTACATCTAAAATAGTTGCGAATGAATACGCGAAAAGATAAAGTTTCAACATTCCCATGGCCGCTTGTCGTTTATGGTTTCCAGACGGAGAGAAACAAGCAAACGAAACGTGTTCGATAGAAATATTTCGTACGCTTTCTTGCAAATGAATCTTAGAATATATTTTAAAGGATGGACATTTGGTTTGATCGATCGTTATTTTTGAAAAAGATCAAATTAAACAAAATTATAATGCATCGTTCGAATACAAAC